TCTCTGGATGACGTACTCTCTTCAATCGAGTGATTAATTGCCCCAGAATAATATGCATAGAAGATTCCTTCAGGAGAACAACTGAATGCTTCTTTAAGTGAAAACTGCATTATCAGGCATACTACGCCACAAAAAACTAATACAGTTTGTCTTCTATCAAAACAAAAGAGACATCCACCTGGTGAAAGAGAGTTTGGAAGAGACTCCAAACAGGTGTTGGGCTTTTATAACCCCTTTGTAGTCTTCAATATCAAAACCGGGTACCCCGGAATAGGAGATGTATCTAGCATACATATCATAATTAGAAGAGACGTTTGTGGGAGGAAGTTCTCAAAGATCAGAGCTGGGAAGAACTGGGAATAATAGGATGTAATGCATTGGGCTCGCATTAGCATGCTCATCAGGGTTCTTGTGTCTTGGCTTAAAAGCTTTCCCCATGAATTCACTTGGGGAATAAAGAATGGTTGTTGTAGAACAAATTAGGGAACACAAAGTTATGGAGGATGCCCCTGGTTAAAAAGTCTGATGCCCCGGTGTGGCAACCATATCCGATGTTGGTCAATAAGAACGAAGCATTGATATAAGATTCTATGGTAAAATGGGAAGCATCTGCTGATAAGATGTTCCAAGAACTCAGGATTGCGTAGCATTCCATTGTTGGAAGCAATTCCCAAAAGATGAGGAGAAGAGAGAACCTTTACTGTGACAGTAGGTGCAAGATTGTTGACATCATCATCATAACTTTCATGACCTATCTCATCTGAGTTTTCAATCAATTATCTTCCTGCTTGAAGATATTTTTAACTACGGGCCAAAGCTTGCATGTATATCACTCAGAGCTATTCCATAACCGATCCCATGTAGATCTAAGTAGCATGAGATCAAGGCTTCAGGAACATCAGGTACTGTTTGAGCATTTCTGAGTATGCTGGGAATGCCAAGATCAAAGGCTTGAATGAACTTCCAAGTAAGCAAGTCAGGAACTCAGAAAATAAATCTGAGAACCATATGGTCACCAACAGAACACCATATGCATAAGTCACCGACAGACATCCAGAACATAATCATTAGAACCACTAATCACCGCCCGATCACAGACTCCATCTGAGCATGAGTAACCATTTGAACATAGTCACCAACTGTACCTGTGATAAAATTCCCTCCCCGCTCACGGATGAAGACTAGGTCAGGGTAAGACAATGGTAACTCGAAAATCACGGGTTCTCCTGAAAGTGCTATGGGCTTACCCACAGACGTGGGTGCCGATAATAATTCATTTGAACCTCATCCGAGCGTGGTATATGACATGAATGCACTAATCGGACCACGTCCTATAGCCGTCATGCCCCCACTCTATTCCTAGTGTCCCAGTGCACTCTGGCCTGGGTACTGGGCCTTTTACCTCAATAGTAACATCCCCACCTAACATGGAAAACAGAGTCCAGCATAATAGATGACAAATAGGGAAAGCAATAAAATGTAATGCAAGCTTATGCTCAGATAAACATGTACAAATGAGTAAACTGAAAGCATAAAAATAAACACCCAAAGAAAAGAAAGCAAGAGCTAGGAGCGACTCCGGGATGGACCAGCATTTGGTCGACCAGTTCCCCAGTGAAGTCGCCAACTGAAACAACCGGCTGAAAATCATCAAAACAATGAAGTCGCCATCGAACGTCTTTTATCCCACATGTAGGGAAAGGTAAACATCGAGAAAACCTGAGAAGGGAGAAGTCACGGTCTTGCGACCGAGAGATCAGGTAAGGGAGTCTGTTACGCGAGGGGAAGGTATTAGCACCCCACACGCCCGTAGTACTCTACGGCATCCACTCTTGTTGTCTATCTTATGGGTGTGTTTAATCTGTGCTTACTGTTTATTATCGCTAAGGGGAGAATGCATGTAAAAGAAAAGAGAGAAGAATGTAGGGAAAATAAAAATTATGCTCGTTCGGGCCCTACCCCGATGCCTACGTATCCCTTTTAAGGAATCAGAGCAACCGTAGTTCGGCTTATATGTTTTTGTTTGTTTGTATTTTTTTTAATGATCAGTATTAATTTCGCCTTCTGCCGCAACTCGACCTTTGGAGACTTACGCGTCAGCACAGAAGTGAATAAACATGCTCTCTTGAAAAGTTTTGAGAAAAAGTGTGCCTGGGCGCACAAAAAAAGGTTGAATTTGTTTGTTCGTATAATGTACGATATTAATCTCGTCTTCTACCGCAACTCGACCTTTGGAGATTTACGCGTCAGCACAAAAGTGAATTAATATGTTCTTTTTAAAAAAAAAAAGAATTTTACAAGGAAGGCCCGAAGGTAAAAGGAGTTTGTATTGGTCGATATTTTCGCTTGTAGATAATGGCTAGTTAATATCTCAAGGGAGAGATTTTAGCGATTTCTCTACTTATTCATGAAATGAGTCTTTGAGACTTGAACCACACCAAAGCTTAGAATAAGAGATCAATAAGGTCGAGAAGAGACCCGCTTATCGTCTCACATACTTAACGAAGATATGATTCTCGTCAGTAGATTTTTAGTATTTTGAAGTTTTGTAAAAAAAAGAGATTTTTGGATACATATGCAAAAAAGTGGAAAGAAAAGCCAAGGGGAAGACTAGCCTATTTCTATCCTTAACGTTATCATACTTCACACGATCTCTAGGAAGCAATAAATGCGGAGATGAGGAATAAAATGAGGTTGTGATGATACCGAACGGAGGAGGTCCGTTGCTTCTTCATGGTCACACAAGCAATAGGAAAACTCTACAGGAGTTCAATCGTATAACAATTTGTGGTATCACATGATTGAAAGCACCTAAAATGTACCTTGCACAATGAACAAGCGCGTCAAAAATAACAAGGTAAAGCGATGTGAAAATATGAATAAAAACCTAAAAGAAAAAATTATTATTTTTTTATTAGTTTTTTATGCAGAGAAAATTCTATCAAAAATTAAAGAATTAATTTTTAAAATCAATTCAGAAGGACCTAACAAGTTTTATTGATTTTATACTTCTTTTATCACTAATTTTCAATCAAAAATCATGAAAAAGAAAATTAAAGAAATTATTGAGAGGGAGAGGGATCAAAGCCAGATGGTGTATTGCAGCAATCAAAATGAGGCATTAGGTCCAATCCAGCAATAGCCCACAAGAGTTATTTTTTATTCAGGTTCTTCAGGCTCCAAAAAACGAGCATCTTGGGCTTAGGAGACACAAATTCGGTCCACTAACAACGCCATACCCACTTCAGATTTTTTTAAGTATATTCCATTATTATTATTATCAAAGAAAATAATTGAAGAAAAGTAATAAACAAAATGAAGTAAACGGTGTAGTCTTGGTCAAACTAGGGTTATTTTGTGGCCCTTCTTCTTTCCTTATTCGCTTTGAAACTCGAAGGAACAACACCACCATGCTGGCTGCGCCCATGGTGGTCAGAAACGGCCGAGCCATATACCAATCCGCTCGTCTTTGTACCTTAAGTCTATATCTCGACCTCTTTTCCATTGACTCTGCTCGTACCTTTATGAATCTCAAGTCATCACTGAAACCCTAGGTTTCCTAGATCATAAATTAAACGCTTCTATCGAAGCTTCCGCATATGATTCAATGGGAGTTTTGTTCCTCCCCTCATGCTCTACAACTTGGTATCAAGATAAGAAAGAAGAGAGTTAGAAATCATCAACCCCGACGGAAACGAGTGCAGGCCTTGATGGAAATGATTCGTCGTGCTTCAAACTTTTGTATCAGGTACGAGTTTCTCGCCTCTTTACTATGGTATTATCCTTCGTATATCACGCCTCTGACTCATTTAGATTCTATATTACAACAAACAGTAGAAAAGGGCGAAAGAAAAAAGACAGAGGAATGTCGAAGCTTACTGGCCAAAGATACTCTGGTGGCTCTTTAACAATGACGTTGAGCGAGAAATCCAGAGGTAAATTCTTCTTCTACTTATTCCTTTCATGCTTCTTTGGTTATCTTCCGAATGTTTATGAGAACCATTCAATTCTTCTAGATTTGTTGTTGCTTATATGTAGAGTTGCACGTTGATATGGTGCAGGATAAATGCAGTTGTGATGTTATGCGAGGAAGAACAGAGATCGAAGATGCTCTGATTCAGAGAGATTTTATGCAGAGGAGAGGGAATTGAGAGTGACTTCAGAATTCTGTGAATGATCGTTATGAAATTTGAAGAGATGATGATGATCAAAGAAGATGAAGCCGAGAAAATTGAGAGAGTACAAAGAGAACTTGAGATAGATAAATAATGAAGGTGGGTGATGATTGAAGGTGAAAAGAGTCGTGAGATTAAGGAAGGAAAGTGAATATTGAAGATGGAGGTCGAGGATTGAAGAGAGTATGGTTCAGAGGTGGAGGCTGCAGAGGTTTTGTGAGTTCTTTGTGAATTTTTTTCTATTAGGAATCAATCCCCTGCCATCTGTTATGGACCTTTCTTTTATAGTCTCCTTTTTTTTTTGAATTTGTTAGCCATTAGGAGTTATAGAGTTAGTTTGTTATTCAGTTAGTTATGATGGTTAGGTTTGTTAGGATGCAGTTGTCAGTTTGAAAGTCGTTAGAAGTTAGTTAAAAACAGTTAGGAAAAGGTTAGTTATGGATTGGTTGTTTTAGAAGTTAGTTAAAACTTGATTTGGAGTTTAATTCTTTTGAATTCTGTTGAGAAGTTTTGGTTAGAAGTTTAGCTTAGAAAAAAAACAGTTTGGAGGTTAGTGAATCTGTTAGAAAGCAGTTAGAAAAGTTTGTTTGGAATTATGAATTTCTGTTTGGCAGTTTGTTAGGAGTTTGTTAGGATGCAGTTAGAAAATCTGTTAAGAATAGTTTTAGGAATTAGTTGGGTGGAAATCAGTTACAAGTTAGATGGTTCTAAAATTCTGTTATTTTCTTGTTTATGCTGAACTGGATTAGCATTTTCATGGTTTCTTTGTTTTCTGTTTCACAAATTGATCCAGTTTTGGTTATGCAGGGTATTGTCACAGCAAGGCTACAAGGAGGTTATCTCACGACTTCTATTTTTTTTCTTCTCTAGCGCATCAGTCTCTTCACTGCCAGAAGTTGTGTTGGAACCACAAGAAGACAGGTCTACCAGTTTCCTATCCTCCGTTTGGTTCAAATTAAGGTTCTCAGAAATGGGCCGGTTTATATCAAGATTAATAGTGACCTTTGACGAAGTATTTAACTTAGCATCTCCACTCTCCTCTGATTCATATGAAGAAACAACTGGTGACTTATAAGCTAAATGCTGAGCTTGAAAAGTTTCGGAGTCTTCTGGATCTGGTTTAAGATCTTGAAGAGGAAGATTTTGTAGTGTAATATCTCCTTATTTTGTCTTAGGTGGAACTTTGTTGATGTGCATTAATGGAACAACAGTTGCTGAAGCAGGAGGATAGGTAAAAGTAAATTGTAGGGAGTAGAGTGCACAACGGATGCAGTCCATGAGCTGTCCACCCTGCAGTTGCAGCAGCCACCGTAGCAGCAGCAATAACTATTGCTTCATCAGTATCAAGATGCCTATCAAGTTCTTTTCTACCAAGGAACTCTTGAAGCTTAGCCTGTAACTTTGGCACTCTGGTAGCACCTCCAATTAACTCTACTGCATATATTTGATCTGCTGCCAAGCCTGAATGCTCAAGCAACTCTTTCATACAAATCACGAGGCCAATTCCTCTTTACATTATTTGCAATAAAACTGGAAGTCTTAGCCCTCAAGGCACGAAGCGATCCATCAGAGTCTGCCACATTGTCCAGACAAGTCAGAGCAACCTTCAAGAGGTCTGGTATACAAGCTTGGACATGAGGAGATAAATTTTCAAACACCTCAACAGAAGTATCAGGTTCTCGAGGATCTAGAGGCAAAAATGGAAGTTTAGCAACCTCCCTTAAAGCATCAATGTGATTCCCAAGTCTTGACAATTTGTGAATTGATAATATTGACTCAAGTTGTCTTAACTTCAATTTAATAATCCACCACAAACTGTAGTGAAATTGTATACATAACTAATTGTTAATTAAATATAAAATGACACTGCATTTTAGGTCTTCTTAACTTCTTCTTTGCCTTTTACTTCCTTATTGATGACCTTATTCTCTGTGGATGATTTAAGTCCAGTTGAACTTTTTTGGGTGTTGACTGAGGCAAAATTTGATGCAGAAGTCACTGTTGAAGGCCTAAACTGTGGCATTTGTGGAACTCCACCTGCCTTTAATGTTGTCTCTAAATTCTGTATCATTGGAAACATGAGAGCACCCATTGGGCTGCTCATAACTTCATTAGGGAGCTGAAGAATATAATCTGGAATTGTACCACCAACCAAAAAATTGTCCAACTTCATTGCTGAAGTTGTTGCAATTGTGAGTAAGCAAACTATAGGTTTCAGCCAAGTAGCGCGGACTGATTTCCTATGAATACATTTCAAAAACATCCTTTGGAACATGTGTAACACCTAAATCGACCACTTTAAGTGGAGTTCTATATGGTGTTGATCCAGCAGGACAATGTTGTATGCCACCACCATAGTAATACTCATTTCCATAAACCACAATTCCTGTGTGCCATATGCCTTCAATAGCTTTCCCCAAAAACGACATTGAAAGTTGTCTAGCAAGTCCTTGGCTTAAATCATAAACATTTAAATCAACCCTGTAACCCTCCTCAGCCATGTGGTGCAGTTCAATCAAATTTAATCAGCCACAAAAAATAAACACTTGAAGAGAATTCCAAATACTTCACCAGAACCGATCATAATAACCTTTGAAAAAATCTCGCTAGAGGAAAAGGAAAATAAATAAATCTCGACGAGAGAGATAACAAGGAGAATATAAGGGCAATGGAGTGAGGAAGAAGATGATGAAAGTTCAAAACACGTTTGTGTGAAACAAGAAGAGACGAGATATGAGAATGAAAGTATTAAATTTTCTTGTAAGGTATTGTTACACTTGAATGAAATTGAATGGAATTGGATAGTATTTTCTTGAATCACGAATGAAAGGGTTCGAATAAACTTTGAACACATGTGAACTTGAATCTGGAATAACGATGAACATCTTTGTAATGTGTATGAACTCCGACTTGAAACAAAACCTCGCAGTCTGTACTTTACCTTTCAAGAAACCCATATGACCAATACTTAAGGCTCTTTGCCGACTTTAATCCAGCCAAAAACTTTCGAACATCTTGAACTCAAATCAAACTTCAAATCCAAATCACACTTGCATTCTCAATGAACTCCTAACTTCAATCTTAAACCCAAATCAACTTGAAATGACAAATAATTTGAATAGTCAATAAGATCTTGATCAGATGGATGATAAAGTCTGAATCACAGAAGAAATCCCTTGATGTGAAACCCTTACAATCTTGATTCCTCATTTAGACGCACAGAGAAATATTCGGACAAAACATCTTTGAACCATGATTCATCAAAACCTAAATTAATTAACTGAGGAGTAGATGATTGTCATGTCACAGTCGTTAATCCTAATCAAATGACAAGCATACTTATAGGAATGGACGCCATGATTCGAAGCCCACATATGTTAGGTTACGTCCTAGAGTTCTTGACCAGAATGACCTACAATCGGTTGTTTATCAGAAGATATTATCCTTGTAACTTGGTGGAGGAGAAGTCCAAAAATGAGCCTAAAAAAACCTAATTCCAAAGCTTGCTGCATGAATAAGAAATCATCCTTTATTGGATGCGAGCGCCTTAACCACTGTGAAACCCTAGTGTTGTACCCCAAATTTTGACCTAAGATACCATCTCCCATCTGCATCATTACATTGCAAGCGTTTTGATCTATTGATTTTGAAATTCATAACTTTTTCAAGTCGAGAGCTGTTTATTTTTTGAACGCTAAGTTTATTAACTGATCAGACAATGTTTATTAATTATTTATTATCTTAAATTTAAATAATTTGAATTTATTTTCAGTTATTATATAATTTAAAGATTTATAAATAATAAAGTAAATATTTGAAAAGAGGTATATTAATTGATCAAACGATGTTATTTAATTATTTATTGTTCTAGGTTTAAATAATTGAAAAATTATTTTCAGTTATTATAATTTAGAAGAATTATAAATAATGAAATAATTAATTGAAGAGAAGTTAATTGGTCATTGATGTTTATTTAATTGTTTATTATTCTGAATTTAAGTAATTGAAATTTATTTTCAGTTATTATATAATTTAAAGAATTATAAACGGTAAAATAAACAATTGGAAAGGAAAAGAATTAATTGGTAAATAATATAATTTTTTATTCATCTTTATTCTAATTATTACAATTGTTGTTTAAATACTATTGTACAAAGTATTTATAATGACAATTACATAAAAAGTTTAAAATGAAATAAAAACTATCCTATTTTTTTCTTAAGTTCTAAAATCTTCATTTTTCATCCAATACTTCTTTGATTGATCATTTGATTTTACCTGCAAAAATTAAAAGAAAAAAGTCAGAAATAAATAAATAATTAAAAGCAAAAAATTATTTAGCGTTCATCATTAAAAGCAAACGGCTGGAATCAGTTTTTACCCTTTTTGCAAATCACGGGATTTCTCCCGGTTCACAAAAAGGGATGAATTTTTAATTGATAAAAATGAATGCACAATTTAAAAACATGCACAAATCATTTTCTTGTCAAAATAGCACATTTCAAAATCAATTGCACATTTTATTTGAAAACTGCATAATCCAAAAACAATTACACAAATTCATTCTTGTCAAAGCTGCATTGTCAAAGCATACAAACAGCATATGCATTTTCAACACAAGCCATTCCAACGTAAACATGCAAAATATAGGAAGAGGCCAAAAACATAGGCTCCTTGCTGTACCAGGCAGAGACAAAGAGCAAATATGCAGTTTAAACCATATATGCAAGCATAATATATTTCCATTTTACATCATTTTCCAGCATGCTTTTTCAGAACAAGTAAGTACATACATCACATTTTAATGTATCAAATGTACGAAGAGAGAGAAGAGAGGAAGTAGTGTGGTTTTACAGGTTTTGGTTTAGGCAGAAAAAGGAATAGAAACAAAACTGCAGCAGTGACACAGTAAGAAAAGAAAGCATAGAAAAGAATACCAACAAACTGGATGAAGCAGATGCGCAGGGATATCAAGAAATATAGTAAAATATATTCAAAACCTGTAACGTAAACAAGGAGGCCATCAACTGTTATAACACATCAAAGCCCCTTCAAAAAATGAAGAGAGTTCAACCTGCCTGAAGCCTTAGAAACAAAAAAAACTGAAAACCAAAAACTGTCCAAAAACCTACTGTTAAACCAATAGCCTAACCAATAAACCAGAAAAACATAACCATGGCCTAAAACCATTCCAAACCTACATACACCAGCAAAACCATAACCATGGCCTAAACCCACGTAAAACCACTAAAACCCATAAAACCTATTCAATCTGATAAACCAAGAAACCAGTATACCCAAAACCTGTCAAACTTATTGCCCATCCATGAACATCATCAACCTGAAACCTGTTGAAACCAAGCTAGGCCAAACCTGAACCAATCCAACCAAAGCAAAAACCAGAACCATACAGCTTATCCAACCAACGTCCAAACCTACCAAGCCTCAGATTTATCATCATAGGCAAATTTCAAGGCAACGGAATCACAGAAAGAAGGAGAGGGCAAGCTAATCAAAACAATAGCATTCCAACAATAGCACCCAAGGCAATATAATGTTCAAGGCAACAAGCAAGAAGAAGAAGAAAAAGGCATCACAAGGTATACAGTCAAAGAGAAGTTGAAAAAGCCAAGGTCGACAGTAAGCAAGAAGAAGAGAAATTGCACAGAGGTTTTCAACGTTATTCATCATCAAACCCAAAAAAAAAAAATAAGAACGAAATACCAGGCAACTGAAGCAGCGTCACTATCTTCCCCGCTCGCCCCGGCCTCCTAGCTCGCCCCCAACCTCCCTCCTCCGTCTCCAGGTAACCTTTCCTCCTCCTCTTTTACTTTCATAATACCTCAAATAAACATAACAATGTGAATAAGAATCAAAAAGATGTAAAGTCACAACATGCAGTAACAAAAACTAACGAATAAAAAAGATGAAATCACCTTAAATCTGTCGCCCCAAAGCGTTGTTGGAGGGAAGAAGAAGATGGAGGTACCGGCGGCCATGGACAAACGGGCGAAGAACTCAGAAGCGAGCATGAAAGGCGAAGAAGAACGCGAACGAAGAAGACAAGCAAGCAAGCGCCGCTTCTGTCCAAAACCCTAATCCCTTTCTTTCAAAGCTAAAACACGTTTAACCCTAAAAACAAATTATGAACAAATGGACCTTCACCCATTTTCTGCCTTAAGCCCAACGAATTCACTATGCACCCCCCTTTTCTGTTGTTTCTGTTTTGGGCCCTTAGAACCCCTTTGGCCCATATATTTACTTGTCCACTTTTTTTTCTTTGATACACATCCTTTTTTCTATTTTTCTTTCTTTTAGTCTTTTTAGGATTATTATTACATTAGTTAATTAGTAAAGATCTAATAAAAAAAAAGAGATGTAATTTAATTAAAATATTTTAAATAATGTGACCTATTTTATTAGTTTAACTTTAGATTTAATTTAGAATTTTAATATTATTTTCCTTAGATTTAAGTTAATAACTTTAAAGTTTTAACTTAATTTAGATTTATTTAATAATTCTAAAATAATACTTTTTATTAATATTAAAAAACATAAAAAAAATAAAAATGACTTAAAATTAAAAACACGTTATTTTCTTTAAATTATTTCCCTCGCTTTAGTTAATACTAATACAAATATGAAAATATAGAAATTTAAGAACTAAAAAACATTTTATTTAATTAATTTTATTGCGTTATTAATATTAGATAAAAATATAAAAATACATGTTCACATATCACTTAGCTATTTAATCATTATCCACATAATTGTCTGTTTGATTATCCTGTTTACTTCTTAATCCAAGGGAAAAAACGATTAAATTTGTTGACTTCATGTCCTCAAGTCCAATCATGCGAATAGTGTCATTCCATTAAAACTTAAGACAATTTTTCCCCAAATATTCAATCTTTTCAAAACTCATACCTTTTAAGCAAAAACTTCGACATTAGGTCGCCGCACCTTCAAAAACCCGCCCGTACCCTTTTTCGGCCAAAACAATTTATTTTTAATTAAACGGACATTTTAATAAACATATATTTCAAAAGGTTCCTATAGAGTACTATAGATACATTGGGTGCTAATACCTTCCCACTGTATAACCAACCCCCGAACCATAGATCTCTTTTCAAAAACGCCTTGTATTTTTATTACTTTTAAAAGTATTATTTT